TTTTGGGAAGAGATTGAGAAATACTGCTGTTAATTCTTTAAACGTTTGATGGAATTCACCAATGAGGCCATTTGGTCCTGGGCTTTCCTCTGTCGGAGGTTTTTGATTACCTATTCAACCTCTTTTACTTAGTTTAGGATTTTTGAGATTTTGTGTTTCTTCTTTTTTTTAATTTTTAAAAATGTTTTATTATTTATTTTTTGAGAGAGAGAGAGAGAGACAGAGTGTGAGTGGGGGAGGGGTAGAGAGAGGGAGACACAGAACCCGAAGCAGGCTCCAGGCTCTGAGTTGTCAGCACAGAGCCCAACGGGGGTCTCAAACTCATGAACTGTGAGACCATGACCTGAGCCGAAGTCGGATGCCTAACCGACTGAGCCCCTCAGGCGCTCCAAGATTTTGTGTTTCTTCTCAAGACAGTTTGGCCAGTGTGCACATTCCTAGGGGTTCACCCATCTCATCTAGGTTATTGAATTTGTTGGCAAACCCTAAAAAGGAAGAAAAGTAAGCCCAAGTATCTTCACATAAGAAAGTTAACCCCCCATTCTGATTCCTGCTTCTACTCATATGAGCTTCTCTCTTGTTTTCCAGGCCAATCTACCTAAAGGATGGTCTATTTTGTTGACTTAAAAAAAAAAATTTTTATTTATTTTGAGAGAGAGAGAGAGAGCAGGGGAGGGGCAGAGACAGAGGGAGACACAGAAACTGAAGCAGGTTCCATCGAGGCTCTGAGCTATCAGCACAAAGCCTGATGTGGGGCTCAAACTCATGAACTGTGGGATCATGACCTGAGCTGAAGTCAGATGCTTAACTGACTGAGCCACTCAGGCACCCTCTGTTTTGTTGATTTTTTTCAAAGTAGGCTCTATACCCAGTGTGAAGCCTAATCCAGGGCTTGAACTCACGACCCTTAGATCAAGACCTGAGCTGAGATCAAGAGTTGGACACTTAACTGACTGAGCTACCCAGGTGTCCCTGTTGATTAAAAAAAACAAAAAATCTTTTACTCTTTTAATTTAGTTGGTCCTCTCTCTTGCTTTTCTATTATTTATTTTATTCATATCCTCTCTAATTTGTATTGCTTCCTTCCTTCTGCTAGCTTTGAGTTTAGTTTGCTCCTTTTCTAGTTCCTTTTGGTGGGAGTTCAGGTGATTGATCTGAGATGTTTTCTCTTTTTTAATATAGGCACATATAGCTATGAATTTCTCTCTGCCAAACCCCGTAAGTTTTGGAATGTTCGGGTTTTTTTGTTTGTTTGCTTAGTATTTTCTAATCTCCCTTGTGATCTTCTTTGACCCATTGGTTGTTTCAGAGTGTGTTGTCTGATTTCCACATGTTCATGAATTCTCAAATTTTCTTTCTGGTAGTGATTTCTCGCTTCCTTTGGTTGTGGTCAGAGGAGATATTTTGTATCATTTTAATATTTTAAAAAAATTATTATTTATAAATTTGTAAATGTTTACTCAACTTTGAAAGAGAGAAAGAGAGAGCAGAGGAGGGACAGAGAGAGAGAGGGAGAGACAGAATCCCAAGCAGGCTCTACGCTGTCAGCACAGAGCCTGATGTGGGGCTCGAACCCACATACTGTGAGATCATGTCCTCCACTCTGTCAGCACAGAGACTGATGTGGGGTTCGAACCCACATACTGTGAGATCATGTCCTGAGCTGAAGTCCGATGCTCAACCAACTGAGCCACTCAGGTGCCCCTCATTTTAATCTTTTTAATAAGTTTTTGAGACTTGTTTTGTGGCTTAACATGTGGTCTGTCCCGGAGGACGTTCCCTGGGCCCTTGAGAAGCATGTGTGTTCTGCTGCTGTTGGGCAGAGCAATCTACATAAGTGTTAGGTCTGGTTGGCTATAGTATCATTCACGTCCTCTGTTGCCCTGCTGATCTTGTCTACTTGTTCCATTTATTATTGGAATGGAGGTGTTGAAGTCTCCAACTATTCTTATTGAGCCGTTATTTCTCCCTTTGATTCTGTTAGCTTTTGTTTCATATTGCCCCTTGTTGGGGGCTCTGTTTGTATGGGCATACATGTTTATTATCGTTATATGTTCTTGTTATGTTAAACCGTTTATCATTATATAACGTGTTTCTTTGTTTCTTGTAACAATTTTGGGCTCAAAGTCTAGTTTGTCTGATATTAATATAGCCGCTCCAGCTCTCTTTTGGTCACTGTTTATTATTTTTTAAATGTTCTTATTTTATTTTTGAGAGAGAGAAAGAGAGAGTGAGTGAGTGAGCATGAGTGGGGGAGGGGCAGAGAGAGAGGGAGAAACAGAATCTGAGCTGTCAGCACAGAGCCGACGCAGGAACACTTGAACCGTGAGATCATGACCTGAGCTGAAGTCGGGTGCTTAACTGACTGAGCCACCCAGGCGTCCCTGGTCACTGTTTAAATGGAGTATGTTTTCCTATTCTTTTACTTTTAACTTATTTGTTTCTTTGGTTCTAGTCTCTTGCAGACAGCATATGGCTGGATTATGTTTTTTCCCCCTTTCATCCATCCTGTCAATTGCTGCCTTTGAATTGGATAATTTAATCCATTTACATTTAATGTAACTACCTACACAGAAGCACTTCTGCTGTTTTGCCATTCAGTTTTGATATGTCTTTTATCTTTTTTGTGCCCCAATTCTTCCACCAGTATCTTCTTTTGTATTAGATATTTGCTACTGCACCATTTTCTTCTCTTTTACTAAATATTTTTTAGTTATTTTCTTCTTATTGGTTGCCCTGGAGATTATAATTAACGTATTAATTTATAATAAACTATTTTGTATTGGTTTCACGAGTATACAAAAATGATGCTTCTGTATCAGGCTATTCCTCCCTCATGTTGTCATTGTTACAAATATATCTCTACACATGATCCACTGACATAGATTTATAATTATTGCGTGTGTAGTTGTCTTTTAAATGACATAGGTAGAAAAAGAGGTGTTACTAACCAAAAATATATTAATCTGACTTTCATATTTACCGAAGTAGTTCCCTTCACCGTTCTTTATTTCTTCATGTGGATTCAAGCTACTCTCTCCTGTCCATTCATTCCTCAAAGGGCAGGTTTCTAGCAACAAGCTCTCAGTTTTTGTTTATCTGAGAATGTCTTGATTTCTCTTTCTTTTTTACAAGATAGTTTTGCTGGATATGGAATCTTGGTTGACAGGATTTTTTTCTCTTTTAGCACTTTGCATATGTCATCATGCTGCTTTCTGGACTCCATGAGGTTGTTGTTGTTGTTTTTTTTTCTCTAAGTTTATTCATTCATTTTGAGAGACAGAGCATGAGCAAGGGAGAGGCAGAGAGAGAAGAGAGACTATCCCAAGCAGGCTGCACCGTATCAGCACAGAGCACAACATGGGGTTTGAACTCCCGAACCATAAGATCATGACCTGAATTGAAACCAAGAATCGGATGCTTTACCAGTTGAGCTACGCAGGCGCCCCACCTCCATGGTTTCTGATGACAGATAAGCTCTTGATCATACTGAAGCCCCCTTGTACATGATGAGTGACTTCTCTCTGCCTCCAGGATTCTCTTTGTCTTTCAACATTTTGATTATCATGTACAGATCTCTTTGAGTTTATCCCACCTTGGATAACTTTTTTGAGCTTCTTGGCTATGCAAACTTTTGTCTTTCATCAAATCTGGGAAATTTTTGGCTGTTATTTCATAAAATATTCTTTCTTCCCCAATGAGTCTGTAATTTTCCCATTGTACATACGTTAGTATGCTTGATAGCATTCTGCCAGTCTCTGAGACTCTGTTCATTTTTCTCTCTTTTCTCAGTTTCGATCATCTCAATCAACGTATCATTAAGTTCTTTGATTGTTTCTTCTGCTTGCTCAAATTTGTTATGGAGCACTTCTAGTGAATTTTCTGTTTCAGCTATTGCTCTTTTCAAACCCAGAATTTCTATTTGGTTCCCTTTCATTATTTCTATCTGTTTTATTGCTGCTATTTGGTGAGATATTGTGCTTATGGTCCCGTTAATTCTTTGTGCCTGGTTTCCCATAGCCCTTGAGCATATTAACAGGGTTGATTTAAAGTCTTTATCCAGGAAATCTAACGTTTGGGCTTCCCGAGGGACCGTTTCTATTAATCTCTTTCCCAGTATACTGGCTACACTTTCTTGCTTGTTTGCATGCCTCACATTTTGTTGTTGTTGTTGTTGTTGGAAATTGGACATTTTGAATATTATAACGTGGCAGCTCTGGAAGTCAGATTCTCCTCCCTCCCTAGGGTTTGCTGCTGATGGCTGCTGTTGGCTTGATTTTTCTGAACTCACTTTGTAAATCCAGTATTCTGTGTTGTGTGTGTGGCCAGCGAAGTGTCTGTTTGGTTAGCTCAGTGGTCAGCTAGTTATTCAATGGAAATTTCATGCAATGCTGACATTAAACTGCCTCTTCCTTGATTGTTTTTCCAGTTTATGTAAACCTTTGACTAGTTTCCAGAGTTCAGATAAAGTATATTCTGACAGTTTTTGCCAGTTTATTTGCTGTTTCTGCAGAGTTATGGGCCCTTGGAGTCCTCTGCTCTGCCATTTTTGATGACTTTATCTCAGCCGATTGCCAGTCAGATCTCGTTTTCTCTGATGGCTTTTGTTCCTCTGTGATACGTTTAGGGGCACACTGACTCGTTTATCCTGCTTGTGCTTGAAGGATTCATTTCCTCCATCTATTTTGTTCAAGTTTCATCTATTATCTGTACAAATATTTCTTCTCCCCTTTAATTCTTAATTCTGTCTATCTGGAGTTCCTATTAGAAGGATGACATAACACCCCTTTCCTGTTTTTTAAATGAATTTTCCAATTTTCATATTTTCCACCTCTTTGTTCCTCTAACTAATTCTCTCTTCAACAGCATCTAAGCCACTCTGTATCCCTTCCTCTGAGGTTTAAATTTCCATGTAGCCTGTATTTTTGTTTTTATTTTTTTATTTTTTAGCCTGTATTTTTGATTTCTAGAACTTCTAAGATTTTTTTTTCAAAATTTTTGTTAGCTTTTTTTTTTATTACTTATTTTACATTTTCAATCATTCTGAACATACTTATCTCGTCATCTCGGGATTCCTCCTCAGAGGCAGGGGATAGGAGGAGGGAATACAGACAGGGCCATGGTGTCACAGGACGTCAACACAGATAGCTTTCCTGCAAGTGGCAAAGCCAAGAGGGGTTGTCACCACGGCCTTGTAATGCCAGGGGCACCTCCACTTTGAGCGAGGATTCCAGGAGACCAGAAACCGCAGCACTTCCCGGGCCAGCCCGTCTCCGTTCTATTACCATGATTGTTTCTGCAAACAAAACGTAGGTTTTGGTTCATAGCAATACCTGTTTGCCATGGAAGAAAGCAATGATTGTCAAGGAGAATAAAGTAAAAGCACTCACAATCCTGGTTCCCTCCCACGCTTCGCTGCCACGACCACCCGAGCCCAGCTTCCCTGGCTTCCTTCCCGGCTTGATCTTTCCCCATAGCACCGAGCACCGTCAGGCACCCTCATCCCCTGACTGAGGCTCCTCACACTTTTCTAAGAGAACCACCAGTTAAGAACAGGAGCCTCCGGTTCCTCAAATGTGCCCCTTGCCTCCCCTACCAAAACGCAGCAGGGTCCTAGAAGGCGCCTTGCGGGTGAAATGTGAACCCTCACCTGGCTCAGGCTAGTTAGCAATTTAACCTCGCTGTGCCTCCATTTTCATCTGCAAAGTGGGCACGGTAACCCCTACCTCATAGAATTGTCTGCGGATTCGGTGAAATTATGTATGTAAAGCTGCTGACACCGTGTGCTGGCACACAGTAGGTGCTCATTAAATGACTGTGCAGTCAGAAACCTCTGCCCTTCACCCCCAAAGCTCTCTGCAACCCAGCCTTTGTAAAGACAGATAGTCCTTTCTTAAAAAAAAAAAAAAA